TTTTTTTTTTAAATATATTTCAGCCTCTCTCTCTCCCCCTCTTTCTCTCTCGCTGATTACGAACGGCTCGAGCTCTTCGCTGGATGGAAGTACTGGCACTGATCACCGAACTTGCAGATACCCTTACTGAAGAACTTGCAGATCACCTGATTATTGCCCTCAGAGTGCCGGTGGGGGTGGTAGTTATGGTGCCCACCACGCCCGCGTCCCCTAGAGTGCCGCACTCCTTTACGGTGACCCCTTCCCTCATCTCCATCGATATCCTCTTCGTCGCCCTCTCCGTATCCACCACGGTGCAGTGATTGTTGTTGCTGCTGCTGTGGTGGCGATGGGTAAGGGTTGGCGCTTCCACCCGCCTTGTGGCGCGCCTTACTGCTGCCATTGTTCTCGCCCTCTTCTGAGCGCCCAGTCGGCGTTGGTGGAGCTCCGTCGCCTATATCTCTGGGAGAGACACGATAGAACTCTTCAACGACAGCACCCCCTATCTTACGCATCGTTTGCAGCTCATTCTTGTGATCCCCCAGTTTGCAGTAGATCAAATCAGTCTTCTGGGAAGATGGACCGTGCTGCAACACTTTGCCGTACCTCGACAATTCTTCGAAAACAAGATGAGGATTCCCTGAATTAACACCGGAAAGCCAGATGACCGCCTTGTACTCACCTCCCTTTCCAGGTTGCTGCTGCTGTTGCTTACTCTGAGACGTTCTAGGTTGGGGAACTTGAAGCATGGCCTTGGTCTGACGACCACGCCTGGACATTGCACTATCTTCTTCTCCTCCATCAGGCGCCATATTGTTATGGATGGAATTATTGTGGATGAAGTTGCGCAATTCGTGCAGCTCAGGCCCATCCTTCTCAGAGAGTGGCTTTTCGTTAGGGTGCAGAACACTCCAAACATATTGCCGACTGTGGACAGAGACAACCTCTTTCTTTAGCTGCTCTTCGAACATTTCTCGAGGTATAGCTAGCAACTCGTCTAATGTGAGGGACAGCTTTACGAGAGCGTTGATGACAGCCTCAGGCACGCTACGGTCACGGAAAAAGCAGCGAAGTTCCTGTGTCATGGGGAGCATAGAGGCCGCGTGCGGGGAGGCCCAGTTCATCTCCTCGTCGCTAAGCGCGTCAATAGACATCGGTGCGGGAGCTGATGACGCCGATTGTCGATATTGATGCTGCGGCGGAACCACTGGTCGATTTTGTTGGAAGTTGTGTATCGAATGATGATGCGTTGGTATCATCAGCCCATGAGAGGGCGGCTCTGCCGCAACTCCTCCTACCGATGTTGGTGCATTCATCTGTGTGGTTGGTGGACGTAGCACCTTGAGATGTTGAAATGATATCTGATGATGAAAGTGAGGCTTAAGCTGAGGCGCTGCTGTCTCTACATTGTGGGCGACTGGCTTCGATTCCGGTTGGGCTACAGCCTCTTGTTTCACAGCGTGAAGGTTCGTGTGTGGCGGAGGAGAGACTCTTGGTATCCCTGGCTGCTGAAGTGAAAGATCGTGGTGGTGGTGAAAATGGTGATGATGATGATGATGATGATGATGCACCACCACCCTCTGGGAGTTCGGTGGCGGGGCTGCTGTAGCTGGCTGCGGCATCGTCTGCGGAGTCATCTGGGTGGTGGGCTGCGGTGCCATTTGCTTCCCCATGGAGCCAGGTGGGAAGAAATGGTTGATGGTGTGCCGGTGCTGGACAAGCATTCTTGGATGCGAAGGAGAGTTCGGAGACACAACTTGGTGATGATGCGGATTATGGCTGGAGTGTGGCGTCGGCGGGGAATTTTGCGGGTGATACGAGGGCTGCGGCACAGCTACCGGCTCCAACGGCGGTCCAGACGGAGGCACTGCACCACGCCACATCGCCCCGTGTGCATGCGGGTCATCAGGTTCCGGTGCGTTCGGGGGCACGCGATCCCCCACCCGCTTGAATGGACCTTGTGATACCGGCGCGCGCGGGTATGGACCACCCTGAGAGAGTTCTGGCTGTTGCTGTTGCTGCTGCTGCTGTTGCTGTTGCTGGTGCTGCTGCGGTTGAGGTGGCTGCAATCCCATTGGGCCACTCCCAACAACCACCTGGTGATTCTGGGCTACATTGGGGAGTTGATGCCGCTGTTGATGCACATACTGGTTGAAAGGAAGACGATGATGATGAAGGTGGTGGTGGTGATGGTGGATAGGCACATCGCGGTCGTGATCAGTATACTTCCGCTGCGCATTCCCCCAACCAGAGCTTACCGTTGGCATAGCATCATCCTCGGGTTGGCTAGACGCTGGTGCGTTGCTACCCTCTGTGTATGCGTTTGCATTTCGAGGCACATTTGGCTCACCTAGTTGTTCTCCTCGGCGTTCCTTACTGAAGTCTCCGTATGGGAGGCGCACCGCAGCTGGAGGATTGTTGTATCCCAGCTGTAAACCACGAACATTTTCAGTTGGCAGACTGTTATAGTTGCCGGATACTCCACCACTCATATTCGACCCTGAAGAACGTGCCGGTGGGTTCATGATCTCTTGCACCCTTTGGACCAAGGCATCAAGCGATGTCGACGACAGGATCGCCTGGAACAAGAATAAGTCATTAGCGGAACGCTCAATTATAGTCATCAACATCCGCGTGTGATCGGCGCCGTACGTTGGTTCCAGGATGGCAAGCAGCATATCCAAAAGCTGCGCGCGTAGAACCCGTGGATCAATCTCCATTCTAAACATCTCCATCAGCAGGCTGCTCACCTGGAAAAATACCGAGTACGTTTCCTCCACACTACTATTGATCAGCCCCCGTCGGAACACTTCCCGCTCCAACACCCGAGACATGACGCCAAAATTTTGCTGTAAGTGCACGAGCGTGACCAGCCTGCGGTCTTGGTTCTCCTCCTCCGCCGCAGGGTTCTCACTCGCTGCCGGCTCCACCGCATTTTCATCTGCCGGTTTCGACGGCGACACACCCGTCTCCTGTGCCTCTCTCTCCTTCTCGCTAGAAGACATGGCACTGCCGCTGAGAGAAGGAATAATGAACAAAGGCCTAAATCAATCTACCTCTTCTTGACGGGCTTCCTTGACAGTCACAATTTCCCCACCAACCCCACAGACACCCACCCACCCACACACAAACACCGAGAGAGAAAGAGAGAGAGAGAGGCAACAGAAACACAGAATAGAAAGCAGAGAAAATATGAGAGGAATAACGACGAGCACATTCAGCACATATAACAAACCCAATCAACTCCACTCGTTCATTCATTCACGGAATGGCCAAGCGACACACTACACGAATTTAAATCCATCATTACGTCTAGAGCTCAATAGTGTGCTGAGGCCCTCAATACTGACTTTCTATCAAACAAGCAATTAAACACGTGCATCACAAAGGGCTACAGGACTCATATTACTCAATCGTTAAAAAATTTCGCTTCTTCACACCATTTCTTCTCTTTGCTTTCCCCATTGCGTTTTCTCCTTTCTTCTCCTGAAAAGCTTTCTGCCCTTCGTATACTTCTTGGCTTGCCTGTCATCTCGCTGGGGGAGACAATTTTCTTTTTCCTTAATTGCCTGACCGGGTGTATTTAACTGGCTCGGATCCTTACTAGTCTCGTCGTTCACTGCGCTTTCTGATACGAACAACTTGTTTTCTGACTGCCCTTGGCTCTTTCTTCCCCTGTTGTTTTCTGTCACAATAAAAAAAAAAAA